GCCTGTGACAGGGAGTTCCAGCGTTTGGGAAGAGAGACAGAGAAGGCCCACTCCTGTGTCCCCACCAAATGCAACTGTGAGGGTGGTGGGACTGATAGAAAGGCCTCCCCGATGGTCTTAGATATAGTGTAATAGATATAGTAACAAACTAGGACTCGGGAGACCTGCGTTCAAATCCCCACTTAACTACAGAACCTCACAGGAGAGGGGTGGCATTGGTAAAACCACTTTTTATATATCTTGCTTGCACTGAAAACTCTATTACAGTTATAAGCCAGATGTAACTTAACAGTACATAACATATGCGGGCTTTGAAAAGTGCCCATGTTGGATAACAGTATGTTTCAGTTAATTCTGGAGCAGAAATTATCAAAATTTACAATAAATTGATAGCAAGGAGAAGGAAAACTGACAGATTTGGTCATCCATGTTTGCCTACAGTCTTGAAACACCACTCTTGAAGGGTGCAAGATCCAAGCCCCCCCCCCAATTCAGTGACACTTATCAACAGCAGATAAAAGCCCATTGGCAAACCATGCATGCCTCACAGCTGCCTTTGAAAACTGTATGCAAGAGTTGAAAAGAGAAAGAGAAATCCTAAAATGCAGCACTGTCCACAGCTCACTTCCACATGCTTACTTAACTAAAAGCAACAGTGGACCCAACGCAATACACTTCATGAACACCTATCCTGTTGTCCCATATCTTGGGTCAACATAAATATTATTAAGTATAGATTGCCAGGTATGTGCTCATGTTCTCTTTAGATGCTGCATGCTGGAGAGAGCTGTGTTACTTCATAGTGCAGCATGCGCGTGGTTGCAGCCCTATCTGTGATGTTAGACAGTGACCATATTTCCAATTTGTATGTGAGAAGCCTGTGAACAGATAGAAGTATTCCCAGCTCCCCATCATCTACCCCCAGTTCAATAATTCTGCAGATGAGTCCTGTAGATTTTTATTCACAGCTTTAAAAAATAAATAAAGCCCTGGCTATAAAAACACCTAATTGCAATGGACAAGATTCAAGAACAACTTATCTTTATCCTGCCAGTATGTAAAGTCCTGTTATACTGCTCTTAAGTATAAGTTTCTCTGTGGTTATCAGTGTGATGGCTATTTGTCCAGACAAGACCCTATGGTAGCTTTTTCAACACTTCATTGATTCTGAATTATGCATTTGCGAACAGAGTTGTGTGTTTTAAGTAATCTGGATTCCTATAGATTGATTAACATTAGCCTGATTTTTTTTTTCATTTAGAATCAATACTTTGACCACAATCAGTGGATGATTTTAGTTTTTCTTTGTAGGGAATGCCTAAAAAATGTAAAAGGCATTGGATTTTTACCTTGCCTTGTTTTGTTTTTAATGTTCCAGAACTATATTGCCCCAAGAAAACCAGCTTTTGGAACTGGCAGTGCTGAATAGGCTTAGATATAAAACCTAGACTTTCCTAGACTCATTAGGATCAATGAACAACAAGCATGCATGAAGAGAAGCGGAATGGTTGAAGTCTCTGAAGGGCATTTTATGAATCTAAATAAATGAATTTAGATCAATCTAAAACTTAATTAATTAATTAATTAAAGGGACTAATAGATTATTGATGTAAGCAAGAAGATTTGCATCAGTTGTTTTGCCCATGTGAAATAACACAAGATAGAATGGTAAAAATATAATTCGTATATCGTACTTCTGCCTTTCTTTCATTTGGGGCTATATTTGCAAAACCTGTCCTGTGCATGTTTATCTTTAAAGAGCTTTATATGCTTCTCAAGCTTTCATATTACAGTGGGGTCTCTACTTAAGAACGTCCCTACTTAAGAACAATCCAACTTAAGAACAGCTCCATTTGCTAAATTTTGCTTCTACTTGAGAACAGAAATCTAAGATAAGAACAGGAAAAAAAAACCTTTCCTGCTTTTTTTTAAACCTTAGGTCATCTTAGGTTAAAAAAAAATTCTCCCCATAGTGGTAGAGTACGCATTAACCAGCTTTGGTTAATGTACGAACGCACCTCTACATAACAAAAAAACAGCCAGAACGGATTAATTGGTTTTCAGTCCATTTTCAGAGATGTACCGAAATGTACCAAAGCAACAAATTCACAATGGAAAGAAAATGAATTTTTAAAAGATAAGGGTCAGGAGATAGCAACATGGATAGGCTCTGCCAGTTGTTGCTTTAGCATCAGATCTCGTTTGTTGTTCCTCTTAGAGTAAGTACATCCTTCCTGAAATTGATTATAACTTCACCATATGAAGAAGGGTCACCTTTCTGAAGTAAACGAAAGTTCCCCAACATTCTGCAGTTCAAATCAGGTAATTCTGGTGAGCAGTATTTGGTGGTGGAGCTCAGTCAGTAAAGAAAGACAACATTTAAGAAACATGGGGAAAAACATGTGTTTTAAAATTAAATCAGTTTGAGGTTGATACCTGATTTTCTGAGGAAATTTAGCTGATTTTTAAAACTGGTTCAAAGAGTTTCTCATTTCCCTCATTCTGTAGGCAAAACTACATATTTTTTTGCCTAAGGATGTTTCTTTCCATGGTTGCGTTTTGCATCCATTTGTGCTTAAATCAGACTGTGCTGCAAATGTAAACCATACATTGGCTGGAAGGTATGCATTCAGTTTCTTTTCAACATTTACATCATTTTTACTCAGCAAAATAGCTCTGCAGAAGCACAAATATACCTTTTGTGTCAATTGTGAAAAGTCCTAAGAAACAGCTGGGCAAGAAAATAAATTCTAGTTCCATAGCAGATAAAAGAATGATGGATTTTAGGCTCTCTATCCTAAATAGGTTCTCTGTAGTTATCTGATAAATGTTTAATATGGCTGCATGAGTAAAGCAGTGCTGCATAACATTGCTCTCATTGGTGTAGGTGGATACTGGTTATCTACATCCTGAAAAGTAATGGTCTTCTGAAATCTGTTTTAGGACTACAGTGGAATAGTTCCTGCCTTCTAGGACAAAATGGTACATTATGATGGAAAGATTTTTCTGTTTCTCTATAGGGGAACAATTAAGGTCTTGTCTATAGCAATATGGCAAGGTTGGAAGACACAGTGGCAGCTTCGTGACCAGTAATATTTCCTAACACTGTAGTTGCATAAACATGATCAAATGCCTTCCAATATTTCTTTTCAATAGCACATCCCCTCCATTTATTCAGAAAAGAGTTATCTTGAATGATTGAGGAGGAGAGAGACATTAGCCCTTTCCACCCCTATTATTTTCCACAACTGGACAGTGACACACTGAAAAGGAGAGTCTGTTAAATGTGGAGGCATTCCACACCATTGGGAATATTGAAATTAGGAATTCTGGCCATATGGAGAAGGACCACATCTACAACAAACTTAACCTTTAACTTTCTGCACTTTAGAAAGACAATTGGGGGGAAATGATTCCTCTAAGATTAATCCTTGTCTGAACTCCTGTAATGCCAGATGTAAAGGCAGACCTGAAAGAATTAAGGTATTTTCATCTGAACATCAAGATCCAGCAACTGGAGTTTCACGAGAAAATGCACACTTTTAATTAAAAGATTTATGTACTCAGGAATTTCTTTTGAATACAGTGGTGCCTCGCTTGACGAGGATAATCCGTTCCAGCAAAATCGCTGTAGAACGAAATAGTCGTATTTGGATTTATATCATATCCTTTTCCAGAATGTGGAATAACTACTTACTTGCAATAGATTCTTTTTTTCCAGTAATAAAATTATTGTTATGATTCTGGGTTAGTGAGGGGACAACATCATTCATTGTGTAGTGTAATTGTAACTTTTAATTTGATTGTTATGGAAGAGTGCCTCACTAATGCTGGTAGAAGAGGAGTATTACATGGTTAAATGTATTTATTAACAAAAATATTGCTTTCATAGAGCAATTGCATGGTGTGGTTGTGTGCTCATGGAAGTGACGTGGAATCATACTGTTGTGCAGGCAGTTGTACAATTGATTGAACAACAGGTTGTACAGCTGATTGCACAATGGAATGGTGAAGCCCGCAATATCCATTGCAGAATTGAGATGGTTTCTCAGAGAGTGCAGCTGTTTTTGCAACATTACCTGCAGTACTGCTCACACATCCTTGTGTGAGTGGAGGTTTGAACATAGACTGTCATAAATTGCTTTTTAAAAGTAACATTCCAAGCTTTCGTTCTTGCAGGAAAAACTCCATTCCTAGCAACTCCATTCTCCCTCCACCCCTGATTTTAGAATAGAGGAGGGAGAAAGAGTTTTCTTGCTGCTGTTACACCACTGAGAGTCAGAAAGTTGGACTCTTGCAATTTACAAAAGCGATCGCAAAACGATGTTCCCTATGGGGGAATTTCGCTTTATGATGATCGGTTCCCTGCTTCGGGAACCGATCATCATAAAGCAATGATTTTCAGCCAGTTGATCGGCGGTTTCAAATTGGCCACCAGGTAAACAAAATGGCCGCCCGCTCGTTTCTGGCATGGATTCCTCGCTGCACAGGCAGCGAAAATGGGCACACTATGGAGGATCTTCACTGGACGGTGAGTTTCAGGCCCCTAGGAACACATTAACCGGGTTTTATGCGTTTCTGTGGGCTTTTTAAAATCACATGACGACGTTTTCGTTTTACAGTGATTTCGCTGGAACGAATTAATGTCGTAATGCAAGGCACCACTGTATTTGAGATTCAATGATATTAACGCAATTCTTCCTCCTGAATTCATGCACTTCTTTACCCCTCTACAAAACAGATACAGTACACAAATTCAGCCTGCTGACAGTCCAGGGCATATATTATGTGAGCGTACAGTAGTGAAGATCTTGAATGTCTGAAGTGTGGAAAATTATTTTAAGGGTGGTAGCTCCAAGGTAAAAAGCTACAGTTAAGTTGGGAGACCGATTTTGTGGATCAGTTGCTGAAGTTAACAAGTTATTATTGTTGGCTCTGGAGCCAGACAGAGTCAGTAACTAAATGCACTAAAATGTTTTTTTCTCTCTTTTTCTTTATAGCAATTGAAACTCAGAGCACCAGTTCTGAGGAACTTGTTCCCAGCCCGCCTTCCCCGCTTCCTCCCCCTCGGGTTTACAAGCCGTGTTTTGTTTGTCAAGACAAATCTTCTGGCTATCACTATGGTGTCAGTGCTTGTGAGGGATGTAAGGTGAGTGTCTAAAAATCTCTGGTAAATTTTGCTTTTTGTGTTGCTTCACAGGGTTGCTTTCAAACAGTCTTCATTTTGACACTTTGGGGAAAGGATTATGAAGGAATTGGGAGAAGCTTAGTTTACTAGAATAAATTATATATTATACGTTGAGCTTGTTAGTAGTTTTATCATAATATCCATGCTAAATGAGTATCAGACTTTTTCTCATAATCACTTCCATCCTTTGAGAAGTCAAAGGAGTAGTGGGAGAGAAAAAGTGGAAGAAAAAAATGGCAGTGTGAAACTCCAGGCCTATTTGCAGGGTCAGAGGTTCAGTGTCCTTCACAAAATGGTATATTGTGGATTTATAACCATTTGGTTGAAGTGTATTGTAAGTTAATAGTAATTTAATATTAATTCTTTTTTGCAATAACAAAGATACAAGTAAGGTACATCACAGTTGCAAGGGAGAACACCACTCTTTATGTGATGTCACTGTCAAGATTTAGTTCCTTCTATAGTGTGGAAGGGGCTGTGGTCTCAATAAATGGAGCAAGAGGAGTGTCATGTGCTGTCCCGTGCTTTGCTTCTTGCTTTGTTATGGACATTGGTGTTACTGTGAAGTGAGCAAGAGAAGAGTGTGCATATTGTGCCACAGACCGGCAGACCTGCAGCATTCAGAGCTACCTGTTTATAAAGTAACAGAAGAATTTCTGTTACAGTCACTATAGCAGTAGTTAACTACCATTAGTGATTAATTACATTTTAAAGGCAATGTTCCAAAGTCTGACGGAGATAGAGAGACAGCAGTCATAGGTCTGTTCAGGCATTATTTGTTTGTGTATACAAATGCATAGAGGAGACAGCTCTAACCCACCTGCCTCCTATGTGTGGATAGTTATGAGCCCAAAGAGAAAGAGTTCTGCTATCATCAGTGGAGCTCTCTACAATAAGTTGAGGCCTCACATAATCATGGTTCCAGGTGACGTGGAGGTGCTCCTTGGAAAGCAAAGCTGTCCCTCTTTCAGGGTTGTCACCTTATGTGTGTAAGAAATAACAAAACAAGGGACAGAGTGGGCATAGTTAAGGTAATGGTGAATCTCAGATAACACCTGAGTAGACTTCATCTCTTTTTTATTTATTTATATCTGATATCTAGAGGTATGGATGTAGTAGCAGTATTCATCATCATACAGTCTGGTGGACTCTAGCTTTATTCCATGTAGTAGTGCACACATGTACATGATTGTGTGGTAGTATTTGACATGAAGAACTACCCCTACAGGTAAGGGTATGGTGTGCAGAAGTGCTGAGAGACACTGACTGTGTTTGCATATTAACAGTAAGCCAGGATGTGGTTGGTTGTATTCTGAGTTGTATCCAAACCCATCCTGATAAACTAACCATAATTTGTTACTTAAATGTAAACCACCATTAAAGGTCATGAGGTTTTAGCTTAAAAATTCTGAATTACCTACCCTGTAACTTTTTGTTATATCTGAACTCAGAACCATGGCTTATCCCAGATGTGCATGTACACACATACAGTATGTGCATATGCACCTGATGAAAAGAGGAGCTGACACTTGGAATGAGAGAGAAACAGACAAGAAAATGGGGAGAGCAAACTGTGTTTTCTGGATTGCGTTTTAGGCAATTGATGGCTAAAGCAACAAATCATGACTAGCATAAAATATGTTTGCATAATACATGAACTATATGCCTAGTGTTCATAGTAATAGAAGAAAAGGTGAGTACAAAAAGTGTTGTCCCTTGCTGTGAATGTGCGTTGGGCAAGTAACCAGGAGTCTGGAGCTCAACGTATTTTCAGTCCATAGCCTCCATTACATTGCTGTCCTTCTGCAGTTAGCAAAAATTCAGGAGGGCATATATTATCTATAATTACTAGCTCTTGTCAGTGTTCAAGTTTTGTATTGCCTTCTGCCGCCCCTTAAGGCACAGTGGTTCCATACTGCTTATTGTGAATCATTCACTGAAGCAGCATTTGAATTGCTGCAGATCCCGTGTTGCCATTAGCAGACCCACAGGCTGCTTTGTTTTTTAATTTGCGCTTTAAACAAAATCTGACACAATGCACTAATAAAAGCACAACTTCGCGTGTTGTGCCAGCTGGAAAAGAAACATTTAAATGTGGTAATAGCAAACTCAGTGGCTCAATGCAGCTAAGGTAAAATTCTGCCCTGGAACCCACACATCAGTGTGAAAGCTAAACATAACACTTCAATAGTAAACAATTTTGTTGGTTGGTTTTTCACGTTTGTCATTTTTATGTTATCTCATGGTTGCAGCTATAATAAACTAGATTCAGGTTGCTAATTTCCTCACACTCACTCACTCTTCGTCCCATTTGTACCATTAGAAATGTACATTGGTTTACAGTTGCCTTTGGAAACTGATCTTGATGTTGGCTTGGTTAAAATATCATTCCTTCCACTAAAAGTTCTAGATCCAATAATAATAGTCTCCTTAGTCAACAGGAAGGGGTAACCCGTTAAAAAAGTTTACTGGGGCAAGTGGTGGTTTTGCTAGGGAGGTAGACAGGTGGACAGGCAGGCTGGTGAAACAACCTAGGCTGGCCAAAGTCATTGCTAATTGAGGCAGAGGTCAAAATATGTCTCATCCCCAATTTCATGTACAAAACTGACACGTCTCATACTGCACCACTGAAGAATAGCATCTACATACCCCTCTACCCAGTAGCTGTAGCCTGAATCCAATTTCATCTAATGATAAGGATGATCCTGGTCAATTAGTAGCTTTTTCCCAATTTGTGAATTGTGATGTCTCTCCCTACTCACTTCTTTATATGTCTACTGTGAAGTCTGCCCTGCTGAATTCAGTCAGACTTATTTTCAGGTAAGGTTGTAGAACAGAGGTGGGGAAGTTGTGATTTGTGCATCACATGCAGCACCCCCATGGTCCTATATGAGACCTGTAACAGTTACTGGGTTCAGGGGCCCTGTCTCTGAACACTCAGCAACACTACTGTTTACCCTGGAGTGGATGAACCCAGTAGAGACAGTTGTGGGGGTGACTATGGAACCTTACTGGCACTGCTGCCTTCCAGCACTCCACTCTATCCAGATTTGGCAGGGCTCCCAGGGACTCCAAAAATCCACAAAGCTATGCACTTAGAACCAACACACCCACCTTGCAAGGTGGAACTGCCACCACACCCACAAAAATAGCAAAACTCCCAGTAACGGGTCAGGGTTTTACTACCACAAACCCTCTGAGTGAAAAACCCAGCAGTTGGTTGGATTTTTTTTTATTTTATTAAAGATAGTAAAAGACAAAAGGCAAAAAGTTTTAGAAGGTTTCCAAAATGTTTCAAAGAGCAATTGGAATAAAACACAATTTGAGAGAAAGGTAAGGCAATCAAGAGAGAACACACACACACACACACACACACACAGAGAGAGAGAGAGAGAGAGCTAAACTAATCTACATAATACTTGCACATTAGTATAGCAGAGTGCATCTTTCCAGGCATGGCTGTAGCATGCCGTGAGAGGTAACCTAAGCCAACTAAAATAACTTCTGATTCCCTTTTTATACACATTAAATATTCCATTCCAGACTCTTCCAGATGGTCAGCCACTCAGAATTTGAGTTCCCTCCAATGTCTCTCAAAACAAGAGCACTTTCTGTCCCCTCTTTTCATAGAGCTGAAATCATCTTCTAATTAGTGCAGTATTAGGGAAGAAGCTGGTCTTGGCCTTGCAATCCTTTCTCACAAGAGATAGGCTGTAGGTGTTGCTCCCTTCTTGTTACTGGGCAGACACGGACCTCCGCTTTCTCAGCCAGCTTTTCCCAGGCAGTCACAAAGAAGCCTAGATTTTCTAGATGAATTCCATGTTCCTCCAATTTCTGTTTCATGACAAATCCTTCCTGCTTGTAATTTCTAGAAGATATGGGAGATAATTTGCCATGCTTTTCCTCCCCAGAAATCCCCACCACAAACCTTTTTTGCATTTCTTTAAAAAAAAACCTGGGCATGAAGGAGCTATTTCAGTTTGGGAAAAAAACTTTTGAAAGAAAAATATTTTGATAGTGGGCAGCATGTGGGACTGAATGCAGCTTTCCATGCTGGAGTTTTCTCTCCCCTGGTGACAACTGAAAACATCAAATTTTACACCCCCAGCAATTACCATATTGTTTCTTTGTCTGTTTCAGTGTACTGTATTGGGATTTTTGTCAAACTCATTTCACATGCCTAGTGCCCCCAGCTTAAACTTTTCAGAGGTTTTCTTGTTACATATTTGCTTGTGGACATCAGTTTTACATATTCTGCTAATTAATTTCTTTATGTTTTGCGCTCTCTGCATCTGCATTCATTGCTAGTTTTGTTCTCTTTATTAGCCCAATTGTGTAGAGATATAGAACTCAAAATCTTGCGATTGCTTACTTACTGGATTTCACCATACATCTTTTCTTCCCAGTTAAATTCTCTAATTTGCTGCTAGATTGAGAGCTATAAAAATCCTTACAATTACCAGGTAGGTGCCTAGTGTCTCTTAAAAATGGAAAATGCAGACTTTTCTTTGGGTTATGTGTCTCTGGGCAGTTCTATTTTAGCTATCCTTGTTGTTCCATTGACATTTACCTGTAATCATTCTCACGACCTAGTTCGGTGCCTGGCCAAGTCAATTGAAACACTCTCATTGACTTCAGATAAGGATATGAGCAGCTTCTTTCTCTGTCACTAGCCAGATCCTCCTTAGCTCAGTCTCTTTGCAAAAACACTTGTCAGCAAATTGGCCATCTCTCATCTTGATTCACGTAACTTCATATATATGTTACTACCCACTCACCCAATACCTTGTATTAAGGTTCTTTATCTTCCAATTCCCCCTCAGAGATGAGAATTTCCTTTTCCTCTATCCAACAAACACGCTTTTCCTTTGGCCTTTTGCAACCATTCCCTCCACCCCCGACAATATATCTTCCTCCTCAGGAGTTGCCTACTATGCATTGTAATCTGATTTTGTTTGCCT